GGGACGGCCTCTCGGTTCAGGATAAATCCTTTAAAGTTGAGGCCCAGTTGGGGTCAGACATGGCGACTTACAGGGCGCTGCAAAGAAGGGGTCTGGCCTACGACCTCGTTGGCATTTTGAGTTTCAAGGTGCACGAGAAATGGCTTCAGAAGGCCTTTGCTACCTTGCAGACCCCACCGCCCCCAGGCTTCAACCAACCGTCCGACGCTGCAGCAGGTCCTGCGAGCAGATCGGGCCTTGTGGATGGAGCTTGGCAGCAAACAGCCGACCCTGACAAGGGCAGCGGCGAACGCGCTCGCGGACGCCCGGTGCTTAGATCAAGTCTTCCTGGAAGCCACCAACACGGTTGCAGTCAATTTTCACTTCATGCCGACACCTCGTGCGGAAGGGTTCACAGATAAAGGCGGCAAAGGCGCGGGCAAGGGCCCCAAGCGCTGGGGCGATGGAAAAGGGTATGGACAATGGAAATATCAGAGGACCAACAAAGGGGACAAGGGCCAGGGAGGCAAATCAGGTTTCAAGGGAGCCCGCCTCCCCACAAAGGGCAAATTTGACAGTGGCAAGGGCGGCTTTCCGAATAAGTCCCTCGTCTTGCAAGGAGGCAAGGGGGAGACCCCCATGCCGGCCGCCTTGCGAGGCGGCGTGCCGAACGACGAGCACGGAGATCCTCTTTGTTTTGGCTTCAACCTAGGACAGTGCAAGGATGCCCCATTGGGGGGCAGATGCGCACGTGGCAGACATGTATGTTGTCACCCAGGTTGCTTCCGGAAGCATCCCTTTTCTGAGCACAAGCACTCAGGCCAGGCAGCCTGAAAGAACGCCCCGTTGCAAGGGACGTCGAATGACAGCGCTTCCGCGCTGGACCAGGCGTCCCGCACTGCTCCGACCACGCGTCGCGCACAAGCGTGCGCGGAAAGAGCGGAAACAGCCATGGGGGAGGGTGGAGATAGTTCTGCCCAATTTTGTGAACAGGACAATTTTCCCGCTTCTGAGGCGGACAGGCCCAAAGAGAGCTGCAAGGAGTCGCATCCTGCTGCTGTTGCGAAAGGGCAAGAGAATCAGCCCCCGCTCCAACGGGTGGCTGAGCCAATCCCACAGTTTTCCAAGCCTCCCGCTGAGGCTTCCGCATTTTCACCTCAGGCGAGTCATCCTGGCGCGCAGAGGTCTGGACAGGCGCAATGTACTGCGCCCCAGACCATACAGGAGTGTTGGGTTTTGGAGATTTTCGCGGGGTCAGCCGGGATTACCTCGGCGGCTGCTTCAGCCGGCCTCAGGCGGTCGGTCGGAGTGGACAACGTCCGTGTGCCGAGGCGCAAGGGCAAGATAATACAGCTGGACTTGCTCCTGCTGTCGCACCAAGGTCTGCTGTGGAAATGGCTGGGTTCCCAGGACTGGCCGCCGTATGGCTGGCGCCGCCCTGCGGCACATCCAGCAGGGCCAGGGAAATCCCGCTTCTGTGGGAGGACGAGCCGCGTCCTTTGCGGTCAGTGGAGTGCCCGGAAGGGCTTCCAGGCCTTGGCCCAAGTGATGCAGAAAGGGCGGCAAAGGCTAACGAGCTTTACCGGCTCACGGCCCGAATCTGGGACTTTTGCTGCGAAAATGGCATTGTGGTAATCATAGAGAACCCCTATCGCAGTTTCTTCTGGCATTGCAGCGCCATTGAACACACATCCTGAGGAGTGAACAGGCGATCGTGGTCCAGTGCGACTTTTGCATGATGGGAGGTTCGAGATTAAAGCGGACGGCCTTGCTGTGTAACAACGACCTCATCACAGGCCTGGCTGTCACGTGTGATGGATCCCACGAGCACCTACCCTGGGAAGTGCACGAGGGAGTTCTCGCAACAAAGCTTGAGACCGCGTACCCGCACCAGTTTTGTAAGCACTTTGTTTCCCTGCTGTTGCAGCATCTGACACAGAAGGGTTGTCTTAATCTCTTGGAGGGAGATCCCGCAAACTCCTCAGGAGCCAGGGTGGTAACGACACAGGCAAAGACCAAAAGGGCTGCATCTTTTCAGGTCATCCCCGAATTTTGCCGACGAACCAGATGGACAGTGCCCGCCGACTCCGCAGCACTCTCCAAACTACACAGTGGTTGGGACCGGACAAGGTTTCAAGGCGCCAGGAGCCCCGGCGTTGAGAGTGACGCCCCTACTGTCTTCTGCGACGGACGTTCTGGTGGAGGTCCCGTGGAACCCACAGGACCCGACTGGCCGGCCACCCCCGACACCTGTGTCTCGGGGTGGACTTTCCTTGCAGGAGTTTCTCAGCAAGGTCATGCGGCAATACAATGCCAAACCAGCACAGGATCTGCCCCTCCTGATTGAACAGGACTGCTCCCAGACCCATTTCGAGGCCTTGGAGTCCTTCTTGCGAGGCGTCCGTAAAAGCATACACCGTCTCTGAGGTCTGGGCTCGCACCGTCCTCGGCGACGCTTCGGCTATGTAATGTCGTAGCCCCTGCAGTGCTGCGCAAAGGGAGGCTTGGTTCTGTCTCCTGACATATGCGGGGGGATGATGATGTCAGAGATTCTTCTCAGGAAGCCCTTCGGCAAGCGCCCAGAGAGTTGGCCCGCCACAAAGCGCAGCCTTCTCCTCAGTCGATTCCAGGTCTTAGGGTTTGAGGCTCCTTGCTCCTGAAAGGCTGCCAGGTCTTCAATGAGACTTTTCCGTTCTGCTGTATTCTGGATCCTAAAGATCTGCTTGCTGCTGTCTGTAAGGTCAAATTCGACCCCCAAAGATCTGAAGACCTCCTGGAACGGCGGAGCCTTGTCTCCGTCTCTGTCAAACTCAAAGCCGAGCAAGTCTAGCAGAAAACATGCACTGGCCTCTGCGCTAGGGGCCAGCTGTCGTGTTGACAACAGCGTGAAGTCATCGTAAAACGAGCTCCAAGGCAAGTGCCAAAACGTGTTTCCTATATGACAAATAGCCAAGCTGACCCTGATGAACGCGTGGACCGCCGCCACGGCGCCGAATGGAAGGCAAAGAAGCCTGAATTAGCGAACCTCCCCCGAGCTGGGGTCCTTGACAGCCACGTAGGCCATGTTGAGTGCCTCTTCGGACAGTGGCAGTTGCCTATATGCTGATTTCAGGTCAATGGTTTTCCCAAGCAGCTTACTGTTCGCGAGCGAATGGTGTTTTATCGATTGCTACCAAAATGTCTCCAAGAAAAACGGTGTGCCGTTTGGTCTTGGTTTGAAGCCCAAAAGTTTCTGATGCTTGTCACGCTTGGTAATGCCAACGACGATTTGCAACTGCATATGCTGGAAGATGTGTGTGCAGCACTGGCTCTGCAGCTCAGTGCCAAAAATTTTGAGACTGGAGGCCGAGTTCTAGTCTAGTGGCTCTTAACGAGGTGCTAAGACTTTAGTTTCGTGCAAGCTTCCCGCGATCGGGAAGTGGATGGACCTGTCTGCATCAAGTGCTTCCACATCGTCCTCCGACGATTTCCGGGTGCCTGTGCCCTCCTTTGTCTTTGTGCCTGTTCGCATTCGACCCTTGCACTTTCACGTGCCTGCACTTCAGCGCTGCTTGGAAGCGCCGCCTGATATTTTCAGCTACATTGTTGAGCCTAGTTTCCGTGGCCTCCTTGTTAGTCGGAGTGAAGGGGCCCGATTCCTTCTGTATCTCACGCTGTCTGATTGGACCCGCTTTGGTGTTGCTGCCCATTGGGTGCAGTCGTGCTATCGCCAGCTCCTGTCTTTGCCTGGTTGACGACCTTTTCGTGGTGCAATGTCTGCGGATGGTTTGCCGGATATAGAGGGGGATGATTTTTCGGTCGGTCATGTCAGCGAAGATGATGGACCGCCAGTCCTTCCTATCGTTCCCTTTGAGTTGCCCCCATTTGGGGCTGGTGTGCAGTCCGCTGGGCCGTTGTTGCGGTTGCCAAAGCCGTTGGATGCAGAAGTTGATGACCTAGATTGGGGTGATGAAAACTCCCCTGTTTCGGCGGTGGAAGACTTTATGGTCGACGTCAACCCTGAAGTGTCTGAACTCAGCTCAGAGCATACCTCATGCCGGTCATGTGCGCGTGATGATTTGTTGAGCCAGTCAGCAGACCATGACGCCAATAGGGAAGACTCACAGGTGTCCGAGTCTGAGAAACCGTCTGTCAACGAGCCTCCTGCAAAAATGGCGCGTACCGTGGGTGATGTGTTTGCCGACAGCTTTGTACGGTTGGCGGATAGGGGCCTGTCTGATGTTGTGTTGCCTTGGGAGCTGCCTGCTGTGAGTGCAATCTTTGGCGAGTCCTCGGTGTCTTCGGAGCTTAAAATGCCACCCCTTTCTATGCGTGAAGCGGAAGTCTGGACCCCCCAGTCACTTCCGTGCAAGTCATTCACTTCGTTCGATGAGCCACAGGAGTTGGTCGTGCCTGGGGACCTTGCGTCATCTGTTTTCAAAGTCCTTTCCGACGTTGATGTTGATGCCCAGCAAAGCAAAGCAGTGAGGCTTGCGGTTGATAAGTGGATCGTGATTATGCGGAGGAACCGCAAGATGCACCCTGAGTGCGAAGTCGATCCACAGGCGCTGGAAGCATGCATTGGGTCGAGGGCCGCAGGAACAGCCTCCAAGAGAGCAGGTAGCATCCTCACGTTCTTGAGGTGGTTTGATACCATTGTTGGTGCAAACCTCGATCCTTTCACTGATGACATGTTTTGGAGGTACATGCAGTTCTTGGATGGTTCGCAGGCCCCTCCGTCCAAAGCCTCTTCCTTCTTGTCCGCCCTGCGCTTTGCTTACTTCGTGATGGATGTAAGAAACATCCCTTGCAAAATAAGCCGCAAGTGTGTTGGTGCGGCTGAGCGTATGTTGGCTAACCTTGGAGACCTCCAACAAGCACCCCCGCTCACTGTGGCGCAAGTTCGTATCCTTCACTCCCTGTTGCATGGACATGGTACATCGGATTGGGATCGAGCCTTTGCTGGATATTGTCTTTTGTGCTTGTATGCACGTGCTAGACAATCTGACTTCCGTAAGGTGGCATACGTGGACGTGGATGGAGAAGGCCGCGATGGCTATGTGGTAATCCGGGTTAAGCAGCATAAAACTGCAAGGGCAGCCAGAAGGGTCGCGCAGCTGCTACCAATCCTGATTCCGTTGCGTGGAATTGCGGATCATGAATGGTTTGAGACGTGCAAGTGTGCCTTTGAGAAGGTTGGCCTTCTGTTACAAGGGCATGTTGGTGCTGCGCTCTTCCGTCCACCCCTAGCCAGTGGCGTGGTGGCTCGCAGGGCCATTACGGCAGGGGAAGTCTCAACTTTCTTAAGGCTTGTGCTTAAAGATAAGGCGGTCTCCTCACACAGCTTGAAAAGAACGTGCATCTCTTGGGCCAGCAAGGCTGGGGCCAAGAAGGAAGTCCGCTCATGTTGGGCAGACATGTCACTGAGGCTGTGTACTCTGTGGAGTTGAGCATGGGGCCCGTAAGGGAGCTGGAAACAGTCATGGATGCCATCAGACAGCTTGAGTTCTCTCCCGATGCACCTCGGGGACACATGTGGGCATTCCCCCCGCAGCCACCTTCTGCAGATGGGCCAACGCAGGGCAAGGGCTTGTTGCCGACTCAGGCATACCTTAGTGCCTCGTTAGCACCTGCTATCAAGGTTGAAAGCTCCGGTGAGGAGGAATCATCTTCCTCCGATAGCTCGAGTGAGTCGTCGGGTTCGAGTGAATCGCAAACCTCACCCGACCCCGTGCGGGTTGATGATCGGGCGACTGTTCCTAGCGGGAACCCTGTACAAGGCACTGGTACATGGGTAAAACACTCCAGATCTGGAGTTCTTCACCATGCTTATGGCGACAACATCCTTGTGTGTGGGCGCCCGCGCACGGCAATGTACGTCTTGCCTTCTGAGGAGGATCTTATGAATCCAGAGTGTCGCACTTGCAAACGCAACCTGTGATAAGGTGTGGTTGGGAGAAGGATGTGTTCGTTTCCACTCGCTATGGCGAAGAAAAGAGATTGCTACATGGTAGCGACATGTGCCCAGGGGCTAATGTGAGGAAACGTGAGCTGCAGTGTGCTGTTGCCGGCTAGATGTCGGTTCTTTGAAGTCAAGGCAAGGACATGGTCCCTTATGAGCCTTGAGGCACATGGTGCCAATGCCTAGCCAATGGGCTTTATGGGCAATGGGGGGGGCCCAGGGGCCACACATTCAGCATGTGAGTGTTGGGATTGTGCATGCGATGTTCCAAAAACCAGGCTCGCAGTCGTAGAATGCGGACATGTTCTTTGTAGTACACTGAGTTGAGTGGTGTTCGTACGGAGTCTTCTACCATGTTGCGCATGTGATGTGATCAGGTGTGGCTTCCTCTTTGTCTGTGCAGCGTAGTTCTCCGTGCCATGTCTTCCTTGATTGAGTCTGAGGCCCACTTCGTCCAGCGCGCCCGCGAGATCAAATGCCCTGATGATGTGCTAGCGGAGCTTCGTGTCGGTGGGTTCACCAGCCTGGGACAACTGGCTTATGCAGTGGGTCAGCCTGGTCAGGTCATCCCTGAGTCAGCCTTCAATGCATTCTGTGCAGCTACCACACCTGGAGCCAATGCGGCTGGCAAGGCATGTGTGCGCCGCCTTGTCTTTGAGGCGCAGAAGTTGGTTTTGGCTGACTTGCGCCTGCAAGTTTCTGACCCAGAAGGTACCTCCAGGAAAATGCCGGAGGCGGAAAGGGACCGGCGTCTGCAGCACCTTAGGGGTCGGCTTCCGGGCGTGCTCATTGAAGGCGGCATGGAGCCCGGGCGATGTGTCTTAGAAGATTGTGTCAGGCAGGAGTCCGCCAATCAGTTGAAGTACCTCAGCCCTGATCGATGTGTATCAAGGACACATGAAGTTACCCACTCCAAAGGTGCATCCCGCCAGCTTGAACTTGAAAGCTCCAAGCTGGTGATCAAGGAAACGGATGATGCCATGAGTATGCCAACTCATAGCGCGTTGCAAGTCCAGGAGGCCCTTCGTCGCCGGGTATTGCCTATGTGTTTGCTCAGTGCCTCACCTACACTGCCTATGAGAAGTACATCTCCCGTCTGTTCAGCAACCTTCACCGGGAACCCCCTCCAGGTTTTGCACGCTGCTCTGTTGCACAATTGGTGGAAGCCGATCGGCAAGTGTTCGTCCGCATGATCGAACTGGGTATTCAACCGCGTGCAGCCACAGACGGAAGTTTTCCAATGGATGATGCGTTGATCTCAGCACTTGAAAGCTACCACGTCTCCATGGCCTTGATGCCGCTTCCGCAGAAGCAGGGCAATGGAAACAAAGAGCGCCGTGAGCTCAAGCGAAAGCTCGAGCCGGGGGAAAAGAAGCTCAAAGGTAGCCCCAAAGGCAGTGGCAAGGGCAAAGGCAAGTCTTCCTTCACCGCCCGTATTCCCAAGGAGATTCTCCAGAAAGGAGGTGTTGCTAGTGCCCCTACGGGTGAGGCCCTCTGTTTTGATTACAACCTGCATGGGGACAAGTGC